CAGTCACCGAAAATAAATGCTTTTTAATTTTTAAATATTTTTCTCTCAGTGTGTATGTATGTGTATGTGTGTGTACCAAAGCACCAAAACGACCAAGCAAGATAATTAATTAACTACTTAATCTTTATTTCAAATACATCATTGAAAGGATTATACTTATTAGTAAAGATTAATATGAAGTATAAGAAAATAGATATGCGTTCGTACGTAAAAACTGCCTTTTCTTTGGATTAAACCGCATTGATGGAAAAATACTTGAAAATCTTTTTGGAGGATAAAAGTTCACTTCGCAGAAATAAACTTCACAGATATATTTCACAGAAAAATATAAGTTATATTCCTCAAATTAAATTTTCAAGTATTTTTCCCTCAGCGTGCGATTTCTCCTTTCCGCGCACAATAGTCCCAAGAAGTATTTGTAGATATTCCCGTTAAACTTTCATCGCTCTAAATTTACGAGACGCAAAAAGCATTAATTAGTTCATATTTAAAAAGTTATTGCTCTATTTTAGCGGTCGGTACCGTTCATTCGTGCATTACTAACGGTGCGCCTATGTCGATGACGATCGCGACACGCGCGTCTCGTCAGACAGGTTAGAATCGTTCTAAGCCACGTGTTTAGAAGAACCAGGCGAACATAGCGAGGTGGTAGTTAGCCTAAGCTGCGCTCGTGCGCTAGGAACAGCCTTGGAATCCCAAGGCCGTTCTAAACCCACCAGACGGGATTCAGCGACCGGTCGAGCACGACGATTCCCGCGGCGCCTCCTCCCTCTCGTGTTGCTCTTGTTGCGTTGCTGGGTGAACGAGACTCGTTGGAGCGAGTATCTCTGATCTGGTGAATTTGTTCACTGGATATATTTCCCGCAGTGCGCTTACCAGACACCCCGTGTGAAAAGACGAAACAATCCTTCGATTCGAAGGGAGCGCAAAGTTGACCGAAGAATCCAGCCGGCTTATGCGGAGGAAAATCATTTTCTCGCCTCGTTAATTAGCACCAGTCGGCGTGCGAACAAAGGTGCAATTAATCGTTGGATGATTACTACTTCTGACGGGATAATAGCGCGACCGAACGAAGACGACCGAGGGAAATTGTCCGCACGATCGATATATTAATTTGCGTAAAGTCGTACAGTAAAATCACTCTGCTCAGACATACTTATATGATAAATATACGAAATGACCGAATACTTTGACACAATAGTCAAACAATTTAGTAGATGTTACCAAATTATTCGATATTATTTACCAAACCGTTTATTTGACTCAAATATATGAAGAATTTCTTTCACAAATTATTTTGCAATTACAGTCGGTAACTGCTACCATACTCTTGATAGAGATTATCAAATGTTATACAGAAGCACTCAACCTTACATGTTAACTATTACAAGACCTTTCTTTAATGCACGTTGATTCGTTGCGTATTTATTATTCGCATTAACGATTTTTTGTTAATTATCTTTTATTTATTTATTTTTTTACTAGACAGCGAACATCATGTTATCGTGAAGCGCTCGCTCACTATATTTTGCCGTTTCTGTTTGTTGACTATGCGATTCCCGTGGCGAGCACGTTCGCCTGACGCACTGTGTGCGACCGGACGAGCGACAACGAGCTTCCCCGGAACGCACGTGCACGTGCGGTGCGTTTACATTCGCCGTCGTATACGAGACGTCGCTGCCATCGTCTGGGAATCATCGATGTTTCCCATACCCAGCGTTCTCCGTTCCCACCGTAAAGCCGATGTGAAACCAGGCGGTTCCCAAAGCGCATCCGTGAGAGACTTGTTCCAAATTCGGCTCATTCGATGTCCGTTCGAGACGATTAAGTTCAGCCTCGACCACGTCATCCTGTCTCTCTGAGAGAAAATGGGGAGGGAGAGGGAGAGAGAGTGAGAGAGAAGACGACGAAAATTTACGCGCTGAATGCCGCTGCGCGGATAGATAAGCGGGCGAAGATTAGGGACTTTAGCATTCTTATCTCCTGATCCACTTTAGACGGATACGCCACTTGTCTAAGCTTAACTTGACAGCTTAACCTACTTTCGGAATCGGCACCTCCAAGTGTACCATGCTTCCCTGTCGGTTTACTTATTAATTTGGATTATGTCGCGAAGGAGCTAATTGTCCTAAAGTTCGCACTCTCGTATCTGAACTTATGATACGCGTCGAACTGGAGTTTGCTCTCATAACTGCTTCACAGGACGCATTCCACCGTTTCGCACGATAGCATCATAATTGTAAATCTGAAAATTGCGATTCTGAGAATTACAGGATTCAAAAGATCTGTAGGTTTGAGTGGCTGTACGCCTGCAAATATTCGCGAATTCATAGGTTTACACAAAAAAATAGGTCTCTACTTATTTCTATTCATTTTTATTTATTTATTTGTTTATTGGTTTATATATTTTTTATTCGTCAGTCGGTTTTATCCGCTTTTATTTTCGCCTCCGCCCTCCGGCTTGAATTCTTCTCAATATGTAACTAAGGGGACTTGCTTCTCGCGCTGAAAAATTATTGCTAAACTGCTAAATTCGTATGTGCAATAAATGATGTAAAACTTTGCGTGTCTCTCCTTTTTCCTCTTTAACTCTCCGTGAATTTTTGTGCGAATTATTTGGGTCATCTGTAAAAGGTGCCTTAACAAGAAAATTCGAAATAGACTTGGTGGTTTCGATCCCCGGCTGGAGATGCTGCGAAGATGCCGGACCCGTGGCGTCTCGATTTGGCCCGACCGCTATTCGACCGGTGCCAGCCGGGTACGCGGCCACACCCGACGCGCTCATGCTCTCCTAGTAAAGTGATACAGTTTATTGGACTTCTTCAGATCAGAATACGGCGTCAATGACATCCTTATCTCGATATGTGGAGGCGCCCCGGCGGCCGGCTAATTCGGGACACGCATGTGTCACATTCGCGTCGTGTTTTCCGCACGCGATTCCGCTCCCTTCCGCCTCCCACACTCCCGGGAGAACTCTCAAGGCGACAGTATACCAGCTGCATTTTTATGCCGCGCTGGTGGGCTGACTATGTCCGATCAGCAAGTGTCAAGTGTTTACGCGCGCGTCGCTCCCATTGTCAGGGAGAAGGCAGAGAGGAAGCCAGATTGCGAACGTGCATACGACATTGTATATAACGTGGTCCGTTACACTAGTTTCTCTTCTGAATGCTGTCGCGGGATTTACTGGCGCATTTCACAGCTGCTGCAATGTGCTGGCAAAGGTGTCCGCGTGTCCGTACATTTTCCGCTTTTCCGAGATAGAGTAGAACGCCCAATTATCGACATCCCCCTTGCGACTAGAGAAAAAAAGGAACACGGTTTTTCTTGTGACCAGAGCATTGTAGTGCAGCCTCCCTTGCCTGCGCTGTGTGACTTCAAAAACTATGAACAATCGGCGCTTGGTCGCAAGAGAAGGCAGTTTTCTCGAGTTTCAATGATTACAAGGGATCAGTAATCGAGTGTCGATAATTGGGTGTTTTATCCCTAGTCATTAAATCTTGGTGCAAATGTATTAGTTCGCATTTTCGGGACCATTATCTGTCCTAACACATCAGTGACTGTTTTATTCATGGCATGCTTCTTTTATTAAATAAAATCACTCGATTGATATAATTTTTTTATCTTCTCATCATATATAATTTCCAGTTATTTCTATGTCCTGAATGCAAATAATTTTAACACTAATCTGAAACTTGTGCAAAAAAAAGATCGATGCTTTCATTGGAAACGTTTGTGAAATAATTATAGGTTACGGATTTCATCCCTTACGTTAAGCGTCACGCAAAGAGGTGCGTGACTATTTTAATCAATCTGTTATAAAGACTGCGTATTAAAACTGCGAAGTAAGACTGCGAATTTCAACTGTCTTCGACTTTTTCCAGTTGTCATAGCGAAATAAAGAAAACAAGGAGAAAACGCCAAAAAGAATTAGGGAGCTTATTACGGTTCTGTGTGAGAAGTGAAAATGTGAAAAGCAAGTGAATTCACTAGATGTTGACTAATGAAATTATAAATATTCGCTCACTTTTCGTATTTTCACTTCTCACATAGAACTGTAATAGGTCCCCAGCATCGAATGCTAAAACTATTATTATGTGCAATTGTAAATATAACATTAAGATAAAATGTCTAGAAAAAGAGAATGACCCAGAATAGCCGCACGTGCGAGCACACGTGGCCACATAAATAATTCGTCGCATGTCTAGCTGCGACTCTCTGGCACGGGCAGACGCTGCCTAAAACGATCGGCCGCCCTTCTATTTCCTCATGTCAGCCTGGTAGAGAGCTGCTAGCTACGTCCGTTTTTTCTCGGGCGAGCCGAAAATTATTGATCCGGCGTGATGGCGGCGCGTCATTAGGGGAGGGCCACGAAGCGAGGAGACGAGCCGACTTCGTGCCACGTGTTGCTTCCCTAGTACGAGGTGATATTTAACTCGCCCATGGCGGATCGTACGGGTGCACGCCCGTACTTACGCACGCACGCACGCACGCACGCACGGACGGTTACATCGATCATGATCGCCTAGTACAACAATGGTCGCATTATCGATCCACGTCGATCGTGATCGACGATCGTGGACGATGACGATTCTCCCCCTTCGACAGCGGACACTCGCTCGCATTTCGCGAGCTTCATTCGCCGCAGGAGGACCAGACAGAAGGAGAAAAGCATTCGCGACGCGTGTTTACGCGCGCGATCTCGCGATCGCAATGCAGAGATCCCGGTAAAAAAGTGCGTCTAGACCTCCACGCGTCGAAGGTTCTAATCCGATCGTTTGTCGCGTCGCGTGACAAAGGGCGACTCCAGACCCTAAACCCTTTCGCGTGTCTCATGCTCGCCTGCTACGAAAACCAACCAAATTTAGACCTCGCGCAAGGAAAGGGCTCACAGCCACATGCGCCAAAGTACACTCTCACGGCACTATCGTGGGCACCGACGGCCCTCTGTGAAGTCGACTCGAGAGGCGTACGAGTATGTACGTGTGCGTGTCTGCCGACAGGTCACCAGCTGGCGGTGTTCAACAGCCAGTCCACCATACAGGTGGGCGGCCGATGGAATCGCAGCAGGAACAAAATCGAACGGCCATTCCTGGGCGTGATAGCCGGCCTGGTGGTCAACGGCGTCAGGATCCTGGAGCTGGCGGCGGGCAAAGACGCCAAAATCATGACCAGAGGGGACGTCCAGCTCCTGCCGGCCGGAAGTCTGCTGGATCGCGCCGCACCGTTGCAAAGGATGCAACAGGTAAGTCCGTCGCTTGTCGAATAGGCGCCGTGATGACAACACAGCCCGTGGGACAATGACCTCGTTTTGTTGCATAAAATTTTCAAGTTTTCGAATCGATAAATACGATGTGATAAACACGATCCAATCTTCATCACAGGAGTTAAATCGCTGTTGGGCCATGTTCCAAAACGGTGTTATCTCCTCTGAAAACATAAGCCGACTTTGATACTGCCAAATCAGGGCAGTTGTTTCGTAAACTTTTATAATTTGATGTTAGAATTTTTCAGTTGTAGTTTTGCAAGTTTACAAAATTTTGTACTTCAGAAGTGTAATTATATATAAAATGTAACAGAGGGATAACATCATAGTTCTATAGTATTCTTCATTAAAAATGATAAACAACAGAAATTGCTTAAGAATACATATATATTAAACATGGGGTAGCAGAGGAGAGTCTCCTACTGTTTATTTTAAAAATTATAACAGTAACAGGCTTAGTAACTGTTATATACTTGTTACGTAACTATTATTACGTTAAAATTCTACATTGAGATTCAATGATGTACCTGCAGCTTGTGTAACGCTATTGCTGTAAAAACGACTGTATCAATACTACAGAGGATACTGGTGAATACTGATTATATAGAGTAAATATTAAATAGCAATTAGCAGCTTATATATGGATGCGCCAAAATTGAATTATTACTCTTCGAATTGGTTGTTTTTAGCACTTTGACGATGATCGCATATTGCCTAGTTTAATTAACTTGCATTGCGCACGTGCTTTTCAGACACCCGCGTCCGGTTTCCCCGGCGTCATGGACGACCTCATATTCTCCGGCGCCGGGAGCGGCTGCGCCGGTGACGATGAGGACGAGGAGTGCACGCCGATCTACGAGTCTGGCTCCGGTAAGTGTAAGTAACAATTTTCGGGCGTAAGTAATCCGTTCTGCACGTTTTTCTGCCGCGAGGGCATTCTTTGTCTCTTAATGTGCGCGTGCCATTGCGACGTTTCAACGTAGACGTTGACGATGAGAACCGGTCGTAATCCGCTGTAGATTCTCAGATTCCGCGTGCACGAACACCAGAGATCGGCGTTTCTCTCGCGACTTCACCGATGGATTTTGAAGATCCGATCCAGAAGGATACACTGATCTCTTTGACCCACGAATACCCACGTTCACGTAATTTCTTCATTTCTTTATGTTCATTTTCATGTTTCTCAAAGGGAAATATTCATTTTCTTACACGATACTAAAGAAAATAAACACTAAATTGTAGATCAAGTTCTTCATTCTTCTATTTTTCTACACACAATTTATTTATTTTTCCACGTCCATTCATTTTTTACGTCTCTTAAGAGGAAGTTTAGTTTCTTATATGGCTCTAAAAAAAATTAACTGGAAGTCGTAGAAGTTATCAATCTCCAGTTTTCTTCGTTTCTTTCCACACACTTTATTTCTTCACATTCTCTCCGCTCATTTCTACATTTCATAGAAGGAGAAATTCAGTTTCTTATATGGCTCTAAGCAAAATAATTGAATTAGTGAATAATTGAATTAGTGAATAATTGAATTAGTGAATAATTGAATAGTTGAAAATTTCAAATCAAGTTATTAATTTTCCGTTTCTTTATTTCTCTACAATTTCTTCATTTCTTCATGTTCATTTCCACGTTTCCTAGAAGAGAAAAGTTCAGTTTCTCATATGACTTTGAATGAATGAAAATGAAACTGAAAATCTCAGATCAAGTTATCAGTTTTCAGTTTCGCCATTTCTCCTTTCCTCTTTTATTTTCAACTCACGATAAACGTCGTGCTTTTGCAACCTCCGATTTGCACGCACCTTTCATTTTCACTTCCCATCTTTGCTCTCTATTTTCCTGAGATCTCTCTCTCTTTCTTTTTCTCTCTCTTGCAAAATTACTCTCAAGCTTTTACTCGCCTATAAGGACGTTACTCGACTTTGCGCACGCATTACATCATACGGGAAAGGGCGTCGTGCGCTCGCTCGCACGCACTCACTCACTCACTCACTCACTCACTCACTCACTCACTCACTCACTCACTCACTCACTCACTCACTTGCGCACTCATGCACGTCACACGCACGCAAGCACGCACGTACCCGCACACATACGCATACACACAAGATCGCATGGCATGCCACCTTTTCGTCTTCATGCTCGCCCGGTTCGATTCGGCTTCAATTCATTTACATATTTAGAATCGCCCTGCCGTTCCGGCTGGAGATAAGCCCCGTCGTCTCAGCCCCTCCTTTCTCCTTCCGGCGAACCTCCTATGGCAAGCTGAGGCCCCGCTCCAAAATCTTCTCCGACTGACTAAAAACTGAATTAATATCGTCACCTTAATGAGAGTCGATGACCGAGGATGACGCTCAGATTCGATCGCTTCTTACTGCTTGGCGCGATACCTCGCGGCTGATCGGCGGAATGCTTCGCAACTTGATTATTCCTCAATTCCTCAGCTATTATTATTCGTCGGAGCAGCTTATCGAACGCCACAAGTAACAATTGCTGCCAGTGCCAGCACTATTTTTCATTTTTCAAACGATCGTCCAAACGAACTCCTGTCACGCTCACTTCGTCTATATAAAACCCAAAAGCAGCGTACAGTCTGAGGCAGTCCGAGGCAAATTTTTTCAACTTGTCAGAACACACTCAAATTGATGTATTTTTTCCTCGGGACAATTTACCGAACGCCACGGCGACAATCGCTGCCAATGCTAGAGCTGTTTTTCATCTCCCAAGCGATTTTCTTGATCGCCCAAGTATATTTTCACGCTTGTCTTTTGCGACTTATATAAAACCTTAGAAATTATATCAGCAGTTCGAAAGGAATTTTTCCATTGATCCGAGTACGTTACATACACGAATCTGATGCATTTAAGAATTTACTCTCTCGTTCCAAAGTAGAGACTAATCAGATTGAAGCACAAACCGTTTCTTATCGGAGGAATAATAGAGTGCACGTATTGGAAGAAAAAAGGGAATAAAGTAACACCAAAGATAAAACGTCACGGGTAACGTGTCAGATAAGAGAGCGTGTTATTCGTGAGTCGAAAACACAATTTGATCCGATCGATTTTGCGCTTTGTCCGCCGGCGATATAGTAACCGAATCACCGGATTACTGCATTGCACTCTATACAAACACTCACTCACATACACACTCCGTGTGTGACCTCATATTTGTCACGATTCTCTTGATAATTACGTCGCTTCTATTTCCAGACGACATCATCACGCCTGTGTACGTGGCGCCCACGCGATTGCCGACGACGGTGAAGCCGAAATCGCGCAAGGAGAATATCCAGGAGCGTCCTTCCTGCGACGACGAGGAGGACTGTGAGGAGGGCTCCGGCGATCCCGGCACGACGGAGGAGATCTTCGTCACGTCGGCCACCGGTCGGTGTCTTGGAATACCGATTCTATCTCGTCTTTGCTATTTTTCTGATCAAACCACAGACAACTTATGAGTCCACACGAGTAGTCTCCATTTTTTACCTGTAGTAGACCTGGACAGCACAAAATCTCCAGAGAATGTTCTGGGACGTTCTTAGAATGTATGAATGTCCTTACAACATCCTTAGAACGTTCTTTGAAGATTTGTGCTGTATGGGGAGGGAAAGTAGCGACATATCTTGATCTCGATAAATTTCAAAACCCGGTGGTATCCGTCGGGAGAAGTTGTACCTTAGAGATTCTCGAAACATCAATTCTCAATTGGATATTGAGTGCCTTTTGAGATTCGTCGAGATAGATGTTGCGGACCTTTCTTCAATTAATTGTACAAATACTGACATCATAGCTTCAACATATGAAGTTACAACTCTTCCAGAAAGTGAGTCTATTTTTTATGGGAAGCTCTAAAATGGCAGAACTTTATGCGATTATGTATATCACTTATTGAATGGTGTACTTCATGTGTGTATTATTCATTATCATGCTGGTCTGCGTGTACTGAAGGCAATTGATGAAGAAATGAGCTCTCTGTGAAATTTGCTGTGAATCTCTCTGAGATCTACGCGAATATTTTCACGATTCACGCGCGAAATAATTAACACTGACACACGAAAATAATGTAATGTTTAAAATAATATTCGGGAAAATGTTATTCGTGAATAACAAATATGAGTGAAGACGATTTTGAAAACATTACTAAAAAAACTTAATACTAACTGAAAGCCTTTAATTATGGAGATGTATTTTGTACGGATCGAGGTCGAACGTCACGCAGATTTGCAAAAATTTAACGTTACCATCTCGCGAAACGGGTTGTCCGTTTCTGAATTAGCTCGCGTATCGAAACTCGTCTACTTTGCTGAACAAATTAAAGAGAAGTGGGCCGCTTAATCCAAACAGTGTATAAATGATTGAAGACAATGAGACCGATTGGCTCGTTACGAATGAGCCGATCGATCCCGGCGCTATCGTTCTGCTTTAAATATGAAGACCCCCCTCCGTTACGGAAATACTCACAACGTGGGCGTCCACGACAACGACGACGCCGCCACCGACGACGACTTTCTGTGACGCGCGCACCGCCAATCGTCGGCTAAGTCGCCGTCGTGAAAATAGCACCACCTTGTCGCCGGGGGCGAGATTCTCGCCAGTAGCGATTCTCACCCTGTCGCGGCATCAAGCGGCGGGCTAGCGTTTCTAATTTCGGACGAAAGCGCGCGCGAGTTTCGGAAATTGACGCCTCCTGGAGATAACACGAGTGCCGCCAACGTTGATTTCTTTGTTGTTCTACGTACGATATTTTTACGCGTATACAGGGTGTTCCGCGTAAAACGTGCCAAAATAAAAATATAAATACAACAGATAAAACTGAACAAAAATTGTAGAGATCATTTTTCAAACAACCACGTAAAATTTCGAGATATTAATAAAAATAGTTGGACAAATTAGAGCGCGGCGACGCGGGCAGGATATACGGCTCGCCGCGGCCGGCGAAAAAATGGATAATTGCTCGCGGGCCTATCTTATAGGCCAAAAAAGTTATAGGGCTGTTTGGCATACGAAAATGGGTAGCTCCGTGTGTGCGTACGTGTACGTGTGCGCTCGTCCATTTTCTTCACCAGCGAGCCGTATGTCCCGCTTGTCGCGTCGCGCGCTCTAATTTGTCCAACTGTTTTTATTAATATCTCGAAATTTTACGTGGTTGTTTGAAAAATGACCTCTACAATTTTTGTTCACTTTTATCTGTTCTACTTATATTTTTCTTTTGGCACGTCTTACGCGGGACAACCTGTATAGTTGTCCGTATAATTAAAATCTCCAATACAGAATTGTGTTCGTTGATGCGCGATTTTTTTTCAAAATTCCAGCATTTGGAACATTAACATCTTCGACTAATTCCTTCGGGGTGAATTCGTTGATACGCGTCTACTTGCTTTTGCATTTTAATTCTCTTTCTTTTCTGTTTAATATCCGAGTCGAGAAAATAAAAGTATTGCGTTGTTATTTCCCTGCCACCCCGTCGTGAATGTCGTACGGCCCTGGTATCCTCGAAAACGTCCCTGATGCCCTCGAAACGACATCCCTGCTTACGCACGCGTGAATATTGCCGGCCTACGCACGCGTAAATATTGCCGCTTACACACTCAGCGTCCCGCACACCCCCTGCGCTCCCCCGTCCTCCTCCTTCTCCACTTCCTCCTCCTCCACCACCTGCCCGCCCGAACCACCCCGTCTACGAATCGTGCGGCAGAACGAGACGAGACAAACCCTCTCACGCGCTTTTTTCGCTCTTCTGTTGCAGACATCAGCTCGACGTACACGACGTCCCGCGAGTATACGACCAGCCACATCAGCACGCAGACCTCGTCGACGTCGTCGACAACGTTGAGCCGTGACGTCGTCACCGTCTCCGTCCAGTACAATGTGTCAACCACAGATCTCGAGACCAGCCACGGCAGGTGCGTGCGTCTGTCGGCGATGACGTCTGCGAAATTGATCGTGACGCCGTATTGGGCAATTATACGCAATCGCTCACGCACATTGATCCGCCAATTTCGGGGGAAATCGACTAGAGGAATATATTATACACATATATTTTCTATCAGATGCGAGATCTTTTTTTATTATATATCAATATTTCCCTATTACTCTATATTTATATGTCTATATTTCCATATTGCTTATTTTAATATTTATTACGTGTTACTTATGTATTCTATTTTCTTTATCTGTGTTCATACATTGATATGTTTTCCTCTCGCCCGCAATAGCGCGTGCATATTTTATATAAATCCGACAATCGAGCGGAACAACCGGGGCGCGCGAAACAAGAGGCAAGAAAGAGAATCGAGTCTAACCGATCGTTATGCCTTGCAGCAGCGTCGTGACGCACCGATCTACCATCGTGACGACCCCGAGCACCACCACGGAGATGACGGAGCCACCGCCGCCACCACCACCGCCGATGTACCCGCCGATGCCTACTCCGCCCAAGAACAACAACAACAAGCGGATAACATCCGAGGCGGCGGAGAACGCCGCGCTGATAATCGGCATTATAGCGGCCGCGCTGATAGCAATCGTGCTCATCATACTGATAATCCTCAAGTTCAAGAACCGGCCGGAGACCAACTACAAGGTGGACGAGACCAAAACGTTCTGCCAAGACCCGAACGCGGCCCTCTTGGGCGCCACGGGCTCCGGCCAAACGTTCAACGGCGCCCTGAAGAACGGCGCCAACGGCAGCAAGAGCAACAAGAAGCGAGAACTGATAGACATTAAAGAGTGGTACGTGTAAAGAGGTGGAGTCCACACGACACCTGGAGGACCGACTGGCTCTGTCTCCGTGTGCCGTCGCTCTGTGTGTCGAGGATACACGGCTCGGTGCTACTCTCGCATCTCTCGCCGCCTTTCGTCTTTTCCCGTTGGAAAGGTTCCGGGGATCGAGGGACACCGGATGATCCGAAAGGGTGTATCCAATGGCGCGCGGCGGCAGAACTGCGGTTCTCGCGACCGGTAAGCGTGCAGGAAGCGCGGCGGTCGAGCGTTCTCGGAGAAGAGATTCTTCTTCGCGCGCTGAGTGCCGCGTGTCAGGCGAGTCTCCAGGATCCTGATTCAATAGCCGAGGATCCGTCTCGGAGGAAGATGATCGGACGAGAGAGTTCTCAAGCTATTTGCCGCGACGTGCTGGACAATTCTCACGAAGGTGTCCTGCGACATGTGACGAAGTCAGCGTTAAATCGTGAAATAAGTATATAAGCGCGTGCGATGTTCCTCGAAGAGACTCTCTCGACGCCGGTCAAAAGGGCGAAGGTACTCAATGATGATCGCTCACGAGAGGACCGATCAAAGTAGGACTCCTTATCGTGTCCCTTTGCAATGTTCCTGAGAAGGACTCGCAGTGTGGGAGAGGTCAATCCGCACGATCAAGTATCCTTGACAAGATACGTTTTCTAAGGACTCGCCTACAATTCGCAAGATCGTGCGCGCAGAAGAAAGAACGTGTTCGCCTCTCGAGAGAAGGACGACAAGGAAGACGTTGGTCGGAGCTACGTTGCTTTCAATCGGGTAATCTGACAGACTCCTTCTCTGACTCCAAGCATGCGGAGTCAAGGTAGGGTGAATCGCGCTCAGAGAAGTCCCCTCAGGACTGTCTTCTCCGCGAAGAGATCCAATGAAGAGTCGACTGACAGTGATCCAGCGCTGCTCCTCTCGTTCCCTCGACTCGTGCGACTCCTTTCTCGGGATAAGAGGGAAGCGCAGAAAAGCATGGACCGAGCATTGATCTTGTCTCGATCTCTGAAACGACTTTAAGGAACAGAGAGATGAAGCGTGCGCGAGGATCGAATTAGGGAATAATTAATGAAAGAGACACTGAGCGTATGGTATTGAACGCAGCGAGCGATTCGCGCGACATGACACGAGGAATGCGTCTTAGGAATCAACTTGCACCGATGAGATAGGTCGTTTTGTTGTTTTGTGGATTTTACTTCCAACATTCTCGCCGCGAATGATCTCTTAAGTAAGAAATTCGCAATGTGGCGCGCGTGAAGTACCGTATCATCGTATTGTTTATCGCTGTAAGATTTTATGAACGTTACGAGGTTTTCGGGTGAAATCGTTGACGTCTCTGTTTAGGGCAAGTGGTTTGCGTTGATCCATTCGTTAGTTTAACACGCGAACGGCACGAGGCGCGTTGTATCGCGCGAGTTCGTTGGTGTGTCAGGCACGATGTTAAGTTTCACAAAGCTGAGTTTCATACAACGTTCTGCACATTCGTCGTCGCTGCGGCACGACGCTTCGCCTAAAACGAAGCGCTGTTTAACGCGCGATTTACCACCGATCGACTCGATGTAGATATTAGCGGATTAGACGGTAAGAGGAAGAAAGCCGTGGAACACATGAACGAATCCCGTCGCAGTCGACGATGCAATTTCAAGCCGAGTATTGTTTCGATGCGAGCGCAGTACCTCCTGATAGCGAGAATCCGAGTCACGTTTCATTCGCGACGCGCGTAAGACCTCGTAAGAACGAGATGTTGGAAGTGAAACGTAAGTTAGAGGAACGAAAGTGTCGCGATCGGGCGATCCTACTCTATCCTATTAACACATTTATTGTTGTATAGAAGGCAAGAGCAAGAAAAAAAATAATATATATGTATATGATACACACCCGCGACACAGACACACTTATCGATTATGTTATGCGTGTAAATTGTTTGACGGATTAAATAGATTTTATTATACATATAAAGTCTGTTTTGTGTGAGCGAAGGATACGTGACACGCGTATAAGCAACGTCCGTGCGGAACACTCGAGCGCGAAGTATACTCAGCGAGGAGCATCGCGGGGCCTACGAGTCTCTCTCGCTCACTCTCTCTCCCTCTCTCTCTCTCCCTTTCAAAAGTAAATTCTTCGTGTATGTCTTTGAAAAATTATCAAATTGCCAGGATATCGCGACGTTTGATTCCATTGAACTTCAAGGTAACAGCAGTTCGCTCGATATTCCTCGATACTCTCGACGCGTCCATGCGCTCGAGTGTCCCGCGCGAGATTGTACGTAAGTGACTCTTATACATATGGAAAGTAATCTGTAAGTAATCCGGGAGAGTGGAGGAAAGAAAAGAGCGGAGGTACACTTAAGGAATAGGTGATTCACAGCATATACGCGAATATGCTTACACATAAATACAGGGTGTGAATGCAGTATTGTCAGAACGAGTTGGGTGACAAGCTCGGCGGTCGTATAATAATGAACGCCGGGCGCTTAACCGCACGGCGAGTACACCAAGTCGTTTCTACCAAGTTGCATTGTCTCCTCCTGATTGAGATCCAGAACGGCCCGGATCCACGTCCCGACGAGTCTGCGTATACTTTCACACGTTGTTATTTCGTTTAATATTACTATTAACGTGATTAATCGTTGACGCAGCCGGCGACAACAGATTTCTTTCCCAAGGCCAAAGAGATTGCGTCAAAATTTCGTACAAAGATAATTGAATTTTCATCAATATTGAATTATATAAATGTTAAATTATATATAAGTTAAATTACTAATATAGAACTATATATATATATATATATATATATATATATATATATATATATATATGATATTAACAAATTAAATTACTAGTAGTTTCTCTTTGAATTATTACTCTTTTTAAATTTTTATATTATATTATTATATTATAGTATATTATATATTATTAAAAAAGACTAATCGTTTCAAGTTATAAGGGAAAAGAGAGAAACGATTGATTGTTCGTTGCGTTGATTGGTGCGGCCGATAATTAACACGGTTAATAGTAATAACGAGCCGCGCGACGAGGAGGCGAGACTCGTTGCAGAAAAAGAAGCAATAAATAACGAAGGGAGGCTTAGCGTTTAAGCTGATCTGTCTGTGTAAAGCGCGGCGATGCGTTCGGTTGAGTCCTGAAGTGTCGGTTCCGTGCGACTCTCGAGCGGACTCGCGTGAACAATTCGTCACGTCGGGCCTGCTCTTCCCAGTTTGCAATTTTTACGCGCGCTTCCGTTCATCTTTCAGGCCCCCGGCAACGAGCGTGAGAAAGAGCGGCCGGGAAGAGGACAGACCCAAAGTGGACGAACGAGAAAAGGGAGAGAGTGTATGCAAGTTGTCGTTCAAACGCACGTCCACGCCAGGGATGAGTAAAATACCGCGGAGGGCTGCGAGAACATAGTCCTGAAATATTCGTTAATTTACGAGCGAGCGGACAAGCAAGTTCGTCAATTTCCGCGCGATGGTGGGAACGTTTAACAATACATATCCGAGGCACGATTGATTGACGGCGGATCAAACGAGAAGAAGACGAAAAGGACGCGCCGTAATTGAAGTAATAATCGTAAATTTCCTACGAAAGGTTGTAAAACTCTTTGATTAAAGTCGAAACGCAAAGGTAAGGGACGGAACAAAATCTCAATTCGTGCAACTGAATAGGAACCAGATGAAAATTCAGCAACATGAAATCATAGGTATGTTTATTGTGGCTGAACCAGCGTATACTTTCGGAACTTAAAAAGAAACAGGTGTATAGCTGTGACTTGGTGTAAAGAAGAGAAAAAGAAAGAACTAATACAGACTAAAGTGTAGCTAATTCAGCTACAAAGAACAGACCACATGCCTCTGTTACTGCAACCAAGAACGTTTGTCTGAACGTTCAGTCGTGTTACAACTTGGTTGCAATAACTGAAAGTTGATTGAATTAGAAACATCCTACAGGAATCTCTCTATCCCTACAACCGAATCAGACAACAAAAACCTCTAAAAAACGTCTTACTCTCTTTGGGTATCTCTCAGACGTCTTTAAGATATCTTTTAGAAGTTTGTACTGTTTAAGGAGTTTTTCATCTGGTTTTTCGTCCCTATACTTATCAGGCAACGGAGAATTCGGTTATACTAGCATAATTGTTTTTTCCGTGTACTGTGTACACGCAAGTACAAACCGATTTGTTATTGATAATAAATTGGAATGCACCTGCGCGAACAGTAAATTTTTAATAAATGCAAACTATACCTGCAATTGGCTCTTATCGTCCTTTACCTTTGTGTCTTCCACCGTAAGTTTCCAAACAGCAAAAATCGCCAATACGAGTAATTATTAGCAATTACTAGATGGCAAATTAAGAATCTCTCTCCGGTGGTGACCCCGCGTTTCCTTTGTACACCAGAGGAGGCTTCCGCCGGTCTTGTACGGCAGTTTGACATTTTTCACTTGAAAACGATTCAGCATAGTCGCGCGAGTTAGACCGATAGATGCGTCTTGGAACGACGGGGACGGCGAATAATAGCAGGCTTCCCCTGACATTATTAGCAAGTGACTGCAGCGAGTACTTTGCCCATCGCTGGTCGAGACTGACTCTCGGCGATCAATCGAAGGCGAGGAAAAAACGTCCGATTGTTATAAACTGCTCTCGAATATTTTGTAAACGCCGCGAACCTCCTTCTCTTCTGTAGTTGCACTTCCTCTTCTACGTGTGGAATCTCTCTCTCTCTCTTCTTTATCACGATCGCTACACTATTTCATGAAATCTCGGGATCGGTTGCTAGTATCGATAGTTTTCCTCTATCTGCCTCTCTCTTCCTCTATCTCTCTCTCCCTTTCTGTCTATCTCTAGCTCTCTGTCTATTCTATCTCTCTGACAGAAAAAGGAATCTCTATCCATCAATCTATCTATATAGTGCATTCGTCGCTTCTCTCTTCCTGCCAGACACGTTGTGGGTAAACGAAGATTTTATTAACGAGTCGCAAGTCGATACGTATCTCGAAGCAACAATCCTCAGGGAAGCGCAGGTAACGCGATCGATCGGGAAGAAACAGGGGTTTCCGTAAATCGATCGATTACCCGCTCATTATTAGCACTGACCGGTTGATCTTGCGATCTTTCACCAGTTAAAAAAAAATTCGAGAAGCTCGATCCTCTTTAAGTCTTCAATCACGGTCTCGTTCCGTTCCATTCGGTCTGGAAGATGAGAAATTCCTCCGTCGCTCGAATTTCGCGATTGGAACAAGCTTCTTTGTTTCTCTCTCTTTCTTTTTTTCTCTCTTTCTTTCTGTTTTTGTCTGACGGGTTCTCACATATTTCCGATCTCGACGAGATCGAATCCTCCTCTCTAACGATGTATCGATAAACAAACGCTAGCGAGACACGGCTACGTACTACACAAATCCCGCGAGTCGACAGGTCGGATGAAGCTTCCTTAATCCTTAATATCTTGCACAACAGCTTGGACCTTATCATTGAGGTGATAAGTAAAGAAAGAAAAAAAAAATACAAGAAAAAAAGTGCCGCGGTCTATTTTTTGCGCGGATCGCTTTTACGCTTAACGAGGCACGATAAATCTTAAACTCCTCTCGTCTTCGCCGGACTTGCAATTGTTCACTTCCTCTTCTCCACTACCCCGAAACCTCCTACACTCCCCCCTCCCCATGAGTCTCGAAATTATTTGTAGACTATGGATAAATAAATCGGTGTGTGGATTTTTGTATGCATTTATGTGACTAAACCTTGCGCGCGGGCAGTTTTAACGATATACACGCGACAACAACGATATATTAATGATGTACTAGAAACGTTTCTTCCCTTCCGCGCTTCACGATCGATCGATCACCTTCGGACCGTTGGGATTTTATTTCGTATAAACAGTAAAAAAAACAGCAAAAAAAGAAAACCATAACGATAAAGCGACTTTCGCGATAAAGCGCCGCCATCGTCGTCGTCATAGTCCTCTTTCTTTCTTCTCGGTCCTTTACCAACGGGAGTCGACACCTGCTCTTTATCGACAGGGGAATCCAAACATATTGTTATCACTGCCCTCCGATTCTCTATCTGCATATCCTTCGATGTACCGATGACTAACGTTTATACTAAACTAAATTTAACTTCTATAAAGATATATTTACCGAGCAGTGTTACTCTACTATTAACTCTTACGCATTATGTCGAATTTAAAGGAGAAAAAGAAGTAATAATAAAAGATAAAAAAAAAGAAAGAAGAAGAAGAAACGTATCGCGAATGAGCGCTGCAGCAGTCGGAGTATAAATCGAGGAGTTATATATACCGAGATATCGCCACGACTAACGAATTAACGAACAAACTGATAATAAGCCGGGAGAATAAGCGAGAAACGATAAGTGAACGGGAGTAAAAGAAGAAAGAAGGGAAGAGAAGATAAACGCTCGCTCACAGCTGTATATCTAGAGTCGCTATAGCTAGATGGAATTATATTTTACATTGTACAGTCGCGCGTACGTACGAGTGCACTATGATGACTTAGATAGTAAACCATGTTCGCGTATTGGACGAAGAGAAAAGCGCGAAGGCAGGAGAGACGGGAGAGACGGAGCGGAGAACGCGAACTGAGAGACGCGTGTTACGTGTGTGTAAGAGTGAGAATCCTGCGAAATTCCACACAGGAGCGGACACACTTTCGTTGTCGACTGGCTGCGAATTTCCACGACACGTTGTATGTATGTATGTATAGTAGAGAAGACATATACACGCAGGTGGCTGATCCCCGAAGCGGTGAAGAGAACGTGTCGGCGAGCGGATCGTGTTGCGCAAACTGGCGCTGTGCGTAAATCCTCGTTTAAAAAAAAAAAAAGAAAGAAAGAAAAGATGAACAAATCAATCAAATCAAAAAATCGAATGAAGCGGCGACACTGAAGAGGATCACTTGAAAATTCATTTGTGAGATACAAAGCTTATTACTGCGAAATAAAGTTTATTTTTGTGAAATAGAGTTTATTTCTGTGAAAATAAACTTTGTGTTCCACAAACGAATTTTCCAGTATTTTTTCTCAGTGCACACTGAGACAAGAAATTCTTGAAAATTGAGTTGCGGGATATGAGTTCACAGAAATGAACTTTACACACATCCCGCAAATAAATGTCCAAGTATTTCTTCTCAGTGCACCGTTAAAAATCTCACATAGGAATTGAAATCGACGTAAAAGGGCTGAAAAAGACGAAGGGGGTTTCGCTGTGATTCGGATTTATTCACGATTATGTATTTAGCTCGTGACAGATCGACGCGATGAGAAAGATTCCTTTGTCGTAAATTCCACGAAATTTCGCGAACGATGCGAGATATTTCGCTTGATCTTTTCGGCGACCTCAGCCGGACACTGCGGCGAAGAAACGTGTCGCACAGCGCCAGGATGGACCGTCGCGAGTCAACACGATTCTGCAGGGTCGGAGTTGGCCGTTCTGTTCCACACAGGTTATATGATATATAAATAAATACGGTAAATACGGGGTAGAAACGTATGTGGTGTGTTTAGATTTTTTACACGTCAACAAGGCGGAGGGTCCCGTTTCGTTAACATTCGCCTTCCCTATGCGGCGTACTTTTAAGCTGGGCCTCGATCGAGTTTTCCGTTATCATTTCGCCTGATATATAGTTTACAGTCGGCAGGAACGGATCGGAGCTGAGTGAAACGACTATTTTTTATATTTATCGCGATGTCGTTCGGCGATCGCGAAAGAGAGCGAATAGTGTTTGATCTACGCTACACACCTTAACGTTTAATATAAAATTAGGGCATGACCGCGCGCGCTCGTGGAAGGGAGAAAACACGGAGACGAGGGCGAACTGTGTGAGCTTGCCATATCGGTTATATAAATATTGAAATAGTGTTTTCATCAGCTTCAAGGAAGATACATTTTCACGTTAATCTCTCGCAATGATGAAGAAGAACACGGGAAGAAAAATAAAAGAAAATAAGAGGAGAGGAGAGCAGATACACACGCATATACACACAAGTGATTAAATGTAGTGCGCGCACTGACGCATTACTGATATTCTCCCGAGACATTAGGGACATTGTAAATACATAGGAATAATGCCGTAACTACGAAATTATATGAATAAAGTATTAAAACTGTGCACACGAGGAATTTTCGATTTGTTTATCCACCAACCCTCCCCGCCCCCACCCTCCGACATTGTTGTATCGGATGCGCGAGAAACCCTGTTAAGTGAAAACGACAGAGAAAAGAAGTAAAGAGGAATCGCACCTTCAGGTGCGTCATTCCGTTTTTTGCATTTATTAATAAGAGTCACTCTTAACGATATATCGGCAAAAATAGAAATAAATGAATAATTAGTAATATCAAAATTAAAAATAATAAATATAATGTCTAGCAGTAACAGTCGAGAAAAGGAAAAACACCACCTTTCTATGCATTGTTTTATTTCATAAGATGCAAATGTAACATATACATACATAGTTTACTCTGAAATCGAGTCTACACAATCTACGTCTACACGATCACGTCATATATTAATCGATAAAAAAGAATCACACACATCGCACGACTACGTTGTTTTAATTGAACCATGGACTTATAGAATAGATCCGCGCATTCTTACACGACGGCTGATGACAAGTTTGAAGGACAGAGATATCAAGTCAAGTGCTTTCTCTATCACACAGCATTTTAAGAGGGAGCCATGTAGGAGAAACAAAAGAGACAGTGAAATATAGTCATTTCACTGTCATTGATACTTCAGAGAAAAATTTGATCTTTCTTGTGACCAACGTTGTGATTAAACTTCTTACCTACACTCTATGGTCCTTACTCTGAACTCTCTTTTATCGATAAAAGCCTCTAAGAGAGTAACTTTATAAGCCTTCTGATTGGCCTTCTATAAACCATTTTTAGAGGCACTTTTAACTCGATAAAAGAGAGTTGAGAATAAGAGAGATACCAAAAGAGAACTTCATAACTAAAACTGTGAAAAACTGTCGCTGGTCGCAAGAAAAATTAAGTTTCTCTAGAGTGTCAATGACCAAAGAGGAGATCAACAATTAGTTGCCTTACCCTAGCGAAAGAGAAGATTCATGTAATTGCTTTTCCTCCTTTGTTTGTCCACTGACTAGATAATTAGACAAAGAAAATACATTACCCCCAGTAAACAAAAAAACATTAGATCAACATTTGATATTTTAGGCTTTCGCGGTGTCCATATTAAATCAACATCTTGAAATATTGATTCGATGTGTATCTCTTGAAGGTTTCCGCTGAATATTTTAAGAATATTTCAAAGATATCACGGAATGATATGATCTCTTTAAATAAATGGTTGCAAAAATGTTTGAGAAATATTAAAATGCTCAATTTACTCGTTCTATCAATGATCTTTCGCTTACTGGGACTCTTTTGCCCCTCTTACTAATACTGACTTCATCCCTTCTGCAATAAGTCTCAGCACTGCGCGGTCTATTCTACATGCTGTGTAATTGAACTTACAGCGCGGTCGGTGGTGCGTGTTCACAATGACTAGATACGAATGAGGCGTGTGTCAAATATGAAAGGTGCGGCGACGATGAGCTTCGCTTGTCGACGAAGAGATGTGTGACGAGGAGAGCACGAGAGAGACGGCGGGGGAAAGTGGACGTTTATATGGTGGGAATATAAGTGGACGATGTGATACTGCTTCGCAGCAGCGTGTCCGAGGTGTGCTGCGGCCCGGAGCCCTTGCGAGATGCGCGCTTGTGAGGGTGGAGGTTCAACGGGGGTAGGTTCGGATGCTCGATTCTCGTCGGGGAACTCACGCGCGGGCGCAGGGTGCCACGTTGAATCGTAAGGATGCCTAAAATACACCGCGACGGACAATTATTATCACGTGTCCCCGCATCGTTGAGACATATTTCGTAAAAATAGATTGCTACATCGGGCTATGGGAGTGGGCGAAAGGTCGAGAGCGGGATTACCGGAATCGTTCGGCTCCAGAACGTCGTTGAGCTGATAGTACTCGGTCTTGACGGACAAGGGCTCCTCGTAATCCACGAACGCGGTGTTGTCGAAGGCCTTGTCGTCCTTTGGCCGATTTTGCACCGGGCTAATGGCTGGCGGATCGGCGTAAGTCTAGAAGGATATCGGTTCACGCTCTATCGTGCCGTTTCACTTACTCACGAAGAAGAGACGAGTGATAAAACGTTCAGGAGGGTTATTGTTTTAGGCACTCGTGTACACGGTGTCCAGACTGACCGAGCTGTCTTTCGAGAGGTTTCCTTTATGTTTCTTTTGAAAGACTTTATTTATTAATCATTAGAGGAAGAGATCAGTGACTGAAGGGACAAGAAAAAGCTGGCTCGTCAGATCTGGCACACTCTGTAGACGCAGGGAATAATAGTCACGTAATACAAACGTATTGTTAGATTGCCTTGAGTTTTACATGTTCGGTTGGTGTGGTCGTACAGGCACGCTTTTGGAATTGCCCACCCCCGATGGTCTCGTACGTGTGCTCCTCCAGATAGTGTCTGGTGGTGCCGCGTGGTGTAAGGGTGGCCCACATCACCCGGCTGTCCTGCATAGTATCGGTCGCGCAGGGGTACAGCACCGCCTCGTTTTGGACCCTACCGTTTTTCGTTTGCATGCTGGAGGCCGTGTTCGGCATCGAGATCACGCCGCTCTTACCGCTCCTATTGCTACAGCAAATTACATTCCAGTCGTTTGTCTCGTTAGATGTATTAAAAAAAAGGAAAAAAAGAAAAAACAGAATTTCCATGGGGAAATACGAGAGCAAGGTTTACGAGTGCGCGAATTTTAGAGAAGGTGTAAGAACTATGTGCATAAAGTAGCTATATCCCCCCATGATGAAATATGTATCCTTTAAGAAGATATACTTACAATTTGCACTTCAAGAACAACGTCGCCAGCACAATGCCGATGAAGGTGACGCCGACGCATGACGATATTAGGATCAGGAGCCACGTATCATCAAAGACAGTTCCTGAAAGTTTACGTGTCCAGAAACTTTATCTTCATTATATTCTCTGTATTAAACTCTAAAAATCTTCATTCCCCAGTAAACACCAACTAGCCAAAGTAAAGTAACGTAACATCAATGTTACAATTTCCTACTCAACAATTACGCGACATTCATAATTAGATTCTTAAATTTAAGGTCATCTTAAGTTCATCTTCAGATGGCCCGCGCCAGTAAAATAACCCGTATAACATCTGAAGGTGAACATGAGACGATCTTAAAGATCAGACTATATATACTGCTTTAAATGCGATATAACACATACGTTATGTAACAGTATATATTGTTGAGTAGGAGATCATAATGTTACTGTAGTTGAGGTTTACCGGGTCTGTTGCTTTCTTTTTTTATGTTTCTAGTTTTTTTTACCAACCTTGCTGAGGCATTTCAATATACTGAACACCCTCGGAGCGCCGGTCGCAGAAGTGCTTGCAGGGGCTGTCATTTAGATGCGGCAAGAATGGCAGGATATCACTGCTCGGGTAAAAGTCGGAGCCTTGCTGCAGGATAGCCGGAAACGGCGGCGGTGGTATGTGGAGGATATCGGGGGGTGGTTCGAGGGTGCAAGAGGCGCAGGTCGAGTTCATGATTGTGTCCAGTGCTCTCATCTGTAAGTCGCAATTAATAGCGTCGAGATGTTTCGACTCGCGACATGCCACAAATAATTCGAGTCAATACAGAATGTATCGAATTGTGATAATCAAATTATACATTCCTAAACTATCGACCAAAAATGTTTCTCGCGTTATTTTAATTATGAAAATTACATATCCGTAATAATAATCTTAAATTACTGACATGCAAAAATTAATTGTTAATTCGGTATTTTTTTTCACCATCTTTACATGCTCCGAAAGAATTTGCAGTGATTCTTTTAAAAAAAATGCATTGTATCGAACCAAGAAGAAATATTTTAATGCGAAATAATATATTTACATTTGTTTAATATATGACTATAAAAATGAGACAAATATATATATAAAGAATATATACAAATGAAATGTATCAAGAATATCGCCACAAAATGATTATCTAAACTAAAATACACAGAAAAAAATTGAAATAATTCGTGTAAAACCTTCGAAAGTAACAACGTTAAATCTCCATTCGCTCTTTTTCTGACTCGCTCGATTTCTCTTTCTCTCTCTCTCTCTCTCTTCTCTTTCCCCGTCTTCTCGATTACGTTTCCAGGTCTTCAAAACTCAAGTGGAGCACTGATCACAAAATAAATCAACGACGCTCAAGTAAACTCGTCCATCTTGCACGTGTCATTACGAAATCGCGCCCCACGAATCCGGCACAACCTCAAGAGAAGTGTTAACTGGTGATAAGAAACTTCACTCTTACCATTGAAGAGCACTAGCCCCGCCGAATTCTGACATCGCAGGGTGCAATGGGACCTGCCAACGGCGCACGCGTGTCTTTATTGAACGGAGGTGACAGCCACGTACAGGGCCGTGTTTAAATCCGAAAGCTCCATGATTTTAATCTTGCAGGCTCGGCAAAGTAGCAACAAGTCAGACCGATGAATGATTTTCAATGCGAAAAACAAATTGTAATAATTGATATATATCTTACACCAGTGACGAATTCACTTACTCGGAACAATGCGAATTCGCTGGCACACAAAACGTCTTTCAGACAAAAACACTGCATGAAGAATTAAATAATAATGCCTATATGAACAATAAATATATATGTTATATAGGTAATAAGGTGATAAACTCAACGCTATATAAAATATATATTTATATATATATTTTTTTTGTTCAAACTATATATCTTAAAGCTTATTATTCTATTATGTTTATGATTTAGCATAATTTTTTCAGTATAATCCAATATTAACATGGACGGAATTTTATTTCTCATAAAGAAAAAGTATAATTGATTATATAAAAATTTTTGTCTTTGGCTTTGGTCTTTGATATTCTGAACTCTCTTTTATCAATAAAAGTACTTCTAAATATGCTTTTAAGTCAGTCAGAAGACTTATAAGTCATATTTAGAGGCATTTTTATCGATAAAAAAAGAGTTTGGAATAAAGAACTTTGAACCTGCGAGAAAGAATCGATACGTGCTCGAGCGTTCCGTTTATTCTCTCTCTCTTTCTTTCTCTTTCTCTCTCTCTCAATAGATAGCTCCAGGCATCATTAAAATCTTCTTCCAACACCATTCTTAACATTCCATTCCGCTCAATATACCTTAGTTTTCGAAATATCGATTAGTTACATAGAATCGATTAGTTATTGATTAATTATTATCATAGACATCAATTAGTTGCAAATATTAATTAATTTGAATTAATGAATGAATAATAAAAAAGCGTCGAGTTATAGTTAATATAGGGAAAATCTTTAAGCTTGACTTACAATGTGTTTTTGGCTCCTGTTTTTTTCTCTTTATCTCTTTTTGACCCAAACTTTAAAGTCTAATCTACAATGTGCTCTTTGTTTCCTGTTTTGTGTTCTCTGTCTTTTTTTCGTTTAAAGTTTAAAGTTTGAGTCAGAAAAAGATAAAGAAAAAGAAACAGAAAGCAAATAAGCATATTATAGGTCAAGCTTCAGCGTTAAGCCAGAAACAATAGAGAACAAGAAACAAGAAGCAAAGAGTATTGTGAATTAAGCTTTAATATCTTTTTTGTAAGTATAATATAACCTAATCTAATTTATTTTAGCTTAAAAATCCGAGTATAGACTTTTGCATAACGCATAATGCATAACACATAAGGGAATTATCCTGAAATTGGAAATGAAGAAATTCATTGGAAGATTGGTTGATTTCCTTATGCATTACGTAAAAGTCTGTGCTTCCGTCCGAAGCCATTGACATCAGTTCCGGTTTAATTCAGTGATTTCCGGGCAGCATGCTCTAGCGTGTGGAGGGGATACGTACACTTAAGCCTACGGCACACGGTGCATGTTTTGCTGTTAGTTTAGCTAATAGATCCCTTGCGCGCTGCGCTGTGAACTGCGTTGCGTGCTGATAAGAATGCAGTGCTGCTAGTTTTCACTTCACATGACAAATGTACATCTGTTCTTTTTAGTTACACTAAGTTATACTTTGTGTTTTTTTATACCGACCTAAAATATCGACATTTTAGCTCAAATTTTTCTTTTATTTTTTTTATTTCTTCTTTTCTTTCTATTAATAAGAAAAAAGCTATTGCAGCTTATTTTTTTTCTTGCGACTTTTATCACTATAAAAAATATTAAAAGTAATTATTATATACAATATGTATATATATAATTATACAAAAATTACATTACACAAATAAATTATACGGAATACATATAATGATAATATAAATATAAATATATATATATATATATATATATATATATATATATATATATATATATAAATTCCGATATTTTTCTCGTGTTAAAAATATTCTTTTCTAATGCAGTACTTACTGCACTAGTACAGAAAAGGCCGGTATTTATAGTCCAATCTTATATTTAAGATCATCTTAAGTACTGTCTTAAGATGTCATGAACCAATCACAGAGCCGTATTCGCATCTTAAGACATTACTTAAGACGGTCTTGAAATAAGACTATGAATACCGGCCTACGAACAGACTTTACGTTGCAATGACAGGTTTCCTAACCTATCATACCTAGCATCTTTAACAATTAATTACTCGGTTTGTAGAGCCGAACGACGATTTTAACTTTCAGATTCGGCTTCTACGCATCGAAATACGTAAAATAGGTGAGTTTCAGCGAAATCGAAGATGGGGCCCGTCTTCTAAATAATTACCTTTTTTATTTCATGACCGCCTCAAGTTGACAATTTATTAGATTTGGATAAGATTGGCTTAAGATGTAGCTTAAACAGTTACTGTGCATCTCATCGTATCAAATAATATTTAAGATTAGACTATGACACGGTGTTTACTTAATTAAGCATGGATTTAAGATTCAGCTTGAAATTCAGTCTTAAGTAATATTTATGAATTACTCGTTGTCTTGAGCATTAGCTTAAGTCGATCTTGAAACTCAAGATATGTCTATAAATTCCGCCCTATATGTCGATGATAGTCACTACAATTGAAGATAATTTATATAAAAGATAAATTGTGGGCTCTTATTGATATAAACAGCTCATTGTTAAAAGTGCAGACTCACAGTCCAAAGTTCATAGCATATATCAGTGCATTCATTACATGATAAACATGCATGATAAACATGCATGATAAACAAAAAACTTCATTGTCTTACTAAGTACTAGTCTACTTTATATAGAAGAGAAAATACGTTTTTTTAACGAACCTATAAACATATACAACTATTTTTAATTTAACTATTTATTGGAAATAAAATATTTTCTCACATATTAGAAGTGGAGTAATATGGCACTTAAAGGAATAAAGGTTTTGGAGTTAGCTGGACTTGCTCCAGGACCTTTCTGTGGAATGATCTTGGCTGATTTTGGAGCATCTGTTATCAGAATAGATAAGGTAAATGTACAACACAAATTCTATCATAAAATTTGTTATATCTTGTAACAAATTTACTTCAATGTTAGTATTTTTAAAAATACTAGAAAAATTACTCATGTAATTTATTAATAGTTCAAACATAATTAAAAAAATATATTTACTGTATTGCTTTTTAATATGTCATTATAGATCGGAGTTCAAATATTTGATTGTCTTGGTCATGGAAAACGATCAATAGCATTAAATTTAAAGTCACAAGAAGGTATCGAAATCTTTAAAAAATTAAGCAGTCAAAGTGATGTTATTATCGATACATACAGAAAAGGTGATGTTATTATTGATGTTATTACAGTGATGTTATTATTGATACATACAGAAAACTTTTATGTGTGTGTATAAGTATGTATAGAATATACATATTAATTAATTTTAATAAATTTTGAATAAAGCCTCTCTACTATGTTAGATGTTGTAGGAATTTTATATTGAAGCAACATCGAAACTTAAATTTGAACTTTTTGATAAAATTAGATTTCTTTTTAGTTTTAGAATTAGACTATATCCAGCACATAGTGATATATAAATTATTACTGATAAGATAACTATCTTCTACATACACATATACATACATATTTTATACACATATTAATATATAAAAAATAATTAATATATAAAAATATATATAAATGTGTTATTTATTAGGTGTTATGGAAAAATTGAAGATTGGGCCAGAGGATCTTATGACAATTAACAAAAAATTAATATATGCCAGATTAACTGGATATGGTCAATCTGGCCCTTATGCAAAAATGGCTGGTCATGATATCAATTATTTAGGCTTATCTGGTAAGAATGTATGCAACTGAATATATATATATATATATATATATATATATATATATATATATATATATATATATATATA